TGCTTTGGGGTATTTTTCTAGTTAATGATCGTTTTGGCAATTGTGCATATGTTCACTGGGGACTCTCTTCTCTTTGGCTGAAGCCAAATCTTAACATCATTATTCAGTTAAAAACAAGCATGGCAAAAATAAGATTATTTCAAACAGAGCTTCTTTGACAGTAGCGTCTTCACAAGTGAAGGACTTCAGACTGGATAAGATGGGAACCACCGGAGTGCGGTTGTATGTTCCAGTGGTTTTCAGGCCAATTAGTTGGTCTAAGCAAATTGTGAACTGACTGTTTGTTAGCCAACCTATAGCTTTCTTCTGTAGACAGTATCTTTGAGTTTTATGTAATGGCATATGTAAGCTCACGGGACTTTAATAGCAACAGTGTACCACTGCATTTTATCCTGTCTGCATATGGTCCTTCAGTTCAACATCCTGTTTATCTTCCTATGCACAGCTGCACATTGTGTTAGTCTTCAGAAGTTCATATTAAAAAAATTTAAAAATAACAATAACTAAGTTTCTTTCCCGATTAGTGTGCTGCAGCACCTTTTCACTTAGCAGTAATTTCCTGGTTTTACTTGTTTTTCTCATAAACTGAATGCTGCCCAATTATCTGCATTTACCATCTGCATCTGGCCACTCAAATTATGTTAGCATTTTTTGTCTGACTATATGTGCATGCTTACTATTGTCCACGTTTTGTGCTCTTACTACCAACTGACCAGTTCTCTATATTTATGTTCTTTGATATGCGTTTATTAAAAGCTCTTGGTACTTCATAAAATAGTGAACCATTTTTTTGACTAAGTATGGGCTAGCCTTTTTTTAAGGATCTTTTTCTTTAGAATCAGTAGGGTCCAGCAACAAGATCAAGGTCATAAAGATACTCATGTGGTGTAGCAATGTCTCCTGACTGAGAGGTTCCCAATGTGACTTAAGTCAGTAAAATCTTGACCTGGGATGTAATCTAGTCTTAGTTCCATGTAGTTATAAAATCTCACAGTTTCTCTTAAGGATGCTTGATATCTATTAAGTAGGACTACTTTAAAGTTTACTGATTGTCCAGCAACAGCATGTTTCTCTGTTTAGATCCTAACATACTAATACATGGGTGTTTGCAAGATTCATCTAACTTGATATTTTTCTTTCATGGCACGTTGCCTAGGCGCACCGTATTTGTTTTATGCCTGTCTGTGAAAATGTGATTGTTTTGTGCTAAGTAATGCTACCACTTTGTTCTCTGCAACTCACAACTTCTGAGCAACAGCTTTGTGAATGTTTGGGGTTCATAGTCTAACTTGGGTTTTTAAGGGGTTCTAGATCTAATCGCTCCTTGCTTTCATTAGAAAAGTGAAAGCACAAGAAATGTGCTGTTGAAGACAGAATGTGTTTCATGTTAGTTATCCAGCCTCTCTTAACAGTCTTTCAACATGAGTCAGAATAAAAAGAGTCCAGGATTTGTCCTTGTTTCATGAAGCTTGTAAATCCGTGGAGGTTTTTTTTGTTGACCTCTAATGCTTGCGTACTTTTGCAAGCTAACATATTTTCTAACATGGCCAGTGAAAGTTTGTCTTTTATAAATTCCTTAAAGAAAGCAATTTGTAATCAGGTTGTTATATGAACAAGAAGCATAAAGGTTTAGTTTTTCACTCTTGTTAGGCCGTGAAATTTCCATCACGCATGGAAGGCAAAAAGATAAGAGGAGTTCAGTAAACACGTTAAAATAATTTGCTGTGTCACGTGCATAAAAGGGACGCCAATGTGAAATGGAATGAAGCTGGACATAATTCTCCAAGACATTACAGTGTCATCTGTGGCTATTATTTCATTTGTTAATGTTGATTACTAGAGGGTGTTTCTGAATGGATAGGGTCTGAATGGGTAATTTTGCCTACTGTTGTAATTACTCTGTCATTTCAAATCATTTTAGTTTGTTACTACACCTCAGTTCCATGTTAGATGTTCTTATGATGCTGCATGGGGAAAGGAATGCATTAGTTGTGTATAATAGTCAGATGAGTGTAATGAAAATACAAAACAAATAGTAGGAAGCTAAGTCAAATTTTAAAAACTTTAGTAACAGTTTTAGAGTTCTCAGTAACTCAGAAATTAGAATAAGGAGTTAATAATTTTAATGGGCTTTTCTATTCCACTTTGTCCTGTATCTAAATATTTCTGTTCTTGGGGGATTTTTTTAAGAGCTTGCCTGTGAAGTATTTTTGTCTACTTTTAAGAATTTATAACACAAAATTAAAGCTGTTTTCCAAAAGGTTCTACTAATTTTGGTGCCTGAGGGTAAGCCCAGTTTGAGAATTAACTTTGCTGAGATTGAAATGTGAAGCATTTGAATTTGTTTTGTCTTTTTCCAGCGCTTCAGTAGTATTTTGAGATTCTAGTCTTCATTTTTTCCCTTTGATTCAAATTGAATTATTTGTCTCAAAAACTACTGTGGGGAAAATGTTCAGTGCCTAAGAGGTTCTCTGGGTCGCTGTGCTCGTATCTAATCTTTATGTAAATGAATGTCTGCTTTTTCTCACTGCATCAAGTCTGATATGTCAGCTACTATGAGTTCTGCCAATTAGATAATTGGCATTGCCAGTTTAAGGTACGCATAGTATGTAATTATAAGTCTTCATTAGGTAATTACAAAAGTTAGTTTTTTCTCTGTCATTTTGCTAAAGTTATTTTAAGTTAGGAAATTTAATTTTCCTCTTAAGCTGTCTATATGTAACGCAGGAAATGGCAGAAAAAGTGCTTTATAAAATGTCATGTTCTCCTTATTTGTATCCCCATTTATAAAGTGAAAATTTGTTACATAGCTGATTTTAATACCCGTATAAAGAAAGGAGAATGTACTCCTGAGTCCATTTCCCTGTCTTCCCCTTCACTGTTTTATTCCTTCAGTCAAAGATGGGCTCACCCACACACATATTAAAAGGAGCTCTGTTGACAACTGTAAAAACATAATCTGTCTTTGGCCTTGGGATGTGTTTGATTGGTCCACCAGGTAGTGGTGCAATTTTAATTGAGTGAAAAATATGCTTTCAGTCTTCATCTGAGTACCATTAGTCTGTATCATTCCAAGTGTTAAGGAAGCTGTAGTACTATATGCAGTTCACCTTATAATATTGGCAAGAAGATGCGGATTAGAAAGACACTTTAAACTTCTGTTGTTCAGAATTTCCACGTTTTTTCATCTGCATCTAGTTGTTCTTGTGGAATGGTCGGGAAGAAATTGTAATTTCACTGCCCATAGTGCCTTGTTTGCAAGGAAAAATAAATCAAATGATGGCATGGGCATGTCACCAAATGCAATTGACCTATTGCAGAAAACGAGCTGTGGTCATAGGGGGTTGATTTGCTTCTGATGCCTTGCTTTTGTTTGTGACCTATTTAAATATAGGGTTTTGGAAATCTTTCCTAAAACTCTTCTAAACATAATTTAAATTTTATTTAAAATTGATTTTTAAATTATTTTCTTTTTGCTGTCCTTTATATAAAGGACCGAATGGCTTTTTTTCTAGCTTTATCCTTTGTAATGTGCAGTTTACATGTTTGCAGATAAGTTATTGAGTGACCAGTGACTAAAGCATGCCATATTATTAAAAATGAGTCAGCAATCACAAGACTGGAGTAGATTTTTAAAAATAACTAGTACAATTTGTTGTTGTTCCCACCTGTGTGTGTTCTGAGCTGCTTTGGTACACGTATTCGTCCTTTGCCATATGCTCCATGAAATGTGAGACTGCCTGAGAGTAGCTGAGATTTTTGTGACTTTTCTTAACAGTGCAAGCCTCTTAAGATGTGATCTCAAAAATTATCAACAGTACCCACGTCACCAGAAGAACTTATGTAAATAAGTACCGTCTTAATGATGTTTTATGTTCAGACAATCTGATGAAAGTGATGGTTGAACGGAATATCAAGGAAGTGTCTAATGTGCTAGCATAAAGAACATTGGGTTTTTAAAGAAGTAGCTTTTGTACTTCGTGTATGGATATTATCTGTAATTTTCAGAAAATGCACTAATTGTTATGCTTCCTCTTTGTACAGTTTTTAGAAGCTATCAGCTGCTAATGCAGGCAGTGTGCTGCTGAGAGCTATAAAACTGGATTTAGTTTTGAATAAATTCCTAGGAGGTGAATTATTCCAGTTGAAGTTTTGAAATGATTTTGTTTTGAATTGTTTAAATCTTTGGATTTTAATTTTATCATATGCACATCTGTTACTGTGAAATTAGAATGCAGGGTTTATAAGAAGCTAGATCTTCAATATTTTTAAAAAGCAGTAGGTGGCAATAAATCTTTTTTTAAAGATAGTTGCATTAACATTGAATATATTTTTTTCATCACTTTTCTAATTTGAACAGAGTTCACTAAATATTTCAGTGAGTAGTAAAAGCTGCAACTATAAATACTGTTTTTTCTCAGCATGTCACATCTGGTTTCATCGAGGGCCAGCCTTTTTTGATATGTTTTATTTACAGGACTACTACTCACTCTGTAGAAGACTTGTTACTTTTTTTCTTTAGTTTGCCTGACAAATGTGATTTGTTGATGCAATGATTGTTTACAACTAGGTGAGAAATTTACGCTAACAATTTCTCATCAGTGATTCTGTTAGTGTCATTTTAGTTGCAGAATGCTTTCTGTCATATTATTTATTGGCGTTTAAAGCAAAATGAGATTTAAAAAATGGAGATGTATTCATTTTCTTATCCTAAATGGGAAAAATAATTGTATGTTTTCACATGCTGCCGCTTCTCAGTATATTTTAAAAGCTGCTTAATGATTTAATCAAAAGTAGTAAATGTTAAGAATAAAAAGGGAAGTAAAGATGGCCTCATAATTTTGAGATGGATTTGTGATGCATGTTTACATATATGAATGTTTCGTACTATGGGAGTTTTTAAATGTGGAACGTTTTTGCTGGGTTATTATTTTGGTATTATGATAATCTGTAGTGCCTGTCCGTGCCCTTCGTAAGAGTCACTGTTTCCATTATATTAGAATGCAATAGCACTCTATGAACAGAGAAATTTCCAGTAAGTAAAAGATCAAGAACTTGTACAGGAATATGAAAGGAGGAATATGCAGTATTTGAGAAATCAGACATTTGTGTACAAATCATCCATAATCTGGATGAAGATGATGAAAGTAAAGGGGTTTTGAGGCCTGATAAACTAACATTAATAAGATGTCCATAGCAGATGTTGCCTGGATGTAGCTAGGTGAACTAAGATTAAAAGTTGATGTATATGCTACCCAAGTGGTAGGCAGTACCTGAATTGTTCTGACCCGAAGCCATATCTGGAGATATGGGGAAGGTGAGATTGTAGCTATTTGAAAACAAGACAAAAAATATACATCATAGCCCACCTATGGAGAATAAAAGCAGAAAGGAGCAAGACCTACGGGAGGAGATGTTTGTTAAATTATTTGAATGATAGTAACAAGGAGAAAATATAGGCAAACGCTGGGAGAGTACGATACTTTTAGAGACGATTGCGACCAACCATTTCGATAGTAAAGGTATCAAGGAAAATGAGTGTGAAGAACAGCCAGCCTTGTAGTTTTCCTCTGAATTCTCTGTTGAGATACTAACAGCGTATCAAAGGGAAACCAAACCTGTGCATTTCTTTTGACTTTTTTTACTTTTGCCCCTACTTAGTTTTACTGTGTTATGTTATTTTTTAAAATAAAATATACAGTGGGAGGGAAACAGGTTTGCTCTTAAAAGTTCAAAAGAACTGCAGTAATCATAATTGTTTTTCATCCATTGTGTGGTGGGCTTTAACATCATTGAGTAAAAATTATGGGATTGAAATTCCTCTTTAAAAGTTGGCTTTGTTATTTTTTAAAGATGGGTAAGTTTAGAACTTGTTTTTGAACCTGTTGCATTTTTTCTGCTGTACATAAATTTGAGTTGGATGATTTTGTGCTCATTAATATTCATAACTTGAACCTAACATAAATCAGTGAGTGCAGAGAAAATAGAGATTGCTTGGAAGGACTGTACTTAGTACAGTGTTTTTGTGTTCTTCCAGTTGCTTTGGCCTGTCATTTTATGCAGAATTTGAAAAATCCTGTTGAATTTGGTAAATTACTTTTGCTCAGACTTCATGCTCGTTTGACAAGGAGTATTAACTAATTGAGTTGATATATTGAGTTAATGTTTTTCCTCATTCATTGTGGAACTAGTTTTTCCTATGTTAAAAAGCAATGACGTTAGTCATTTTAATACTGTGAGCATATTAAGATAAAATTCACTTCAGGATTCTATTGCCACGCGAAGCTGTATTCACATCTAAAAGTTGACATTTGTACTTAACGGGAGAGCAAAATTTATAGTGAATAAAACATGGTTAGCCATCTCTAATAGTGGTGCATTTCAAATAAATGCTTGAGGTTTTCACATTTAAATGCTTTCTTTATAGCTTTCAGTTAATAATAAATTTTACTGTTTAAGGGCAAGCAAATTCTGGGTATTTTTGGCCTCTTGTAGTTGAAAAGTCGAAGGAGAATGTCCGTTGATAACAATATCACATTTCACAGTGCAAATTTTGCAGATTCCAAACATTGTGGTTAAGATTATGTTTTGAAATCTCTGAAAATGCAGGGTTCTTTTGGCAGAATTTGGAAGAAAGCCTCTTCACGGATGTGCTCCTTTTCATGTGCTTTCTGCATTTCAGTATGGATTCTTATAGACAAAGGTATTTGGGTAGTACTTTACTCCCACTTGAACTCTTGCTTCCTACATGAGATCAGTGTAGGCAAAGTGACCTGATGCTTCCATAGCGTCGTTTTTTTGACTGACTTTATGGGCTTTCTCATCCTCTTTTTTGCTGAGCAAGAGGTCTCATTTTAATATAAATCGTGATTTTTATAGTTATATTGCTATTCGTAGGCTTAATTTCTAAGTTTCTATCCTGTTTCTAGACCCTTTTCCCCTTTGATTACGAGACAGGTCATTGCGGGTGTTTAGTCCCTATGACAGATAAACTGAGGATGTAATCTCTGTTATTTAAGTGAGGGTGATATTTATAGTGCATGTGTTATTTGCACTAAATGTTTATCTGCACAAGAGACGCTAAAGGAAACTAACCCTGTTCCTAAGGGTGTAATTCTTAGAACATATGTAAACCTTTGCAGGTGCTTTTTTGGTTTTTGTTTTGTGTGTGTGTGTTTTTTTTTTTTTTCTTAAGTGTCTTAAAAAGAAACTTAACAAAGTGCCTACATCTTAGACTAGGCGCCAGTCTTTAATACCTCATCCTGCCGTCCTGACCTGCAGGATGTCCTCAGCTGCCCTGGGGAGCTTTCCCAGGCTCCACCTTGCAGACCTTGGTGGTCCCCGTCTTCACTATGCTGCATGAGTGTGTTTGTATTAAGAGCAGTTTTACCCTGCGAACAGAACTGTATAGATGTTGCTAGTTATTTGATAAAGCATTGGGTTTCTGACTGAAAGAAAAAAGGATTTCCAGGTAAGGCATAGTACTATTACAAAGAGATATCCTTTATTCTGTAATAATTATACCTCACCATCTTGCATAAAAGTCTTTTGAGCACTACTACTTAAAAAAGAAAAGAGCAGTAATAGTTACAAGCTAAGATAGTTCTCGGTTTTCTAGAAACAAGTAGTTGAGATTTCCTTTCCAACAATACTTCTGAAGCACAGATAAAATGGCTTCCTGTCTTACTGTTTCCTGTATCCATGGCAACCTCACTTTAACCACTTATTACTTTGTTTCCTGAGTTGAACAGTTGCAAAGCCTAGGACAAAATACGAGAGCTCTAGTATGTGAGAATATTGCTTTTAAAAAGGTTTCGCAGATTAATATAGTATGTTAAGCTGTGACTTAGCCCGGTGAACTGCAAAGCAACAAAATAACGGAAATAATGAACTGCAGATTTGGGGTAAGAATTTATTTTTATTTATTTTGAATGTAGCTGAACTTTTATAAAAGTAAAATTCAAATTAGAAATGAGCCACTAACGAAAGGAAACTTGTTTTCTGCTGGCATTTCTACCTGAATGTTTCTATAACATCTCCTACTCGTTTTTCAAATATATAAAACAGTTAAAGGAATAAGCAGTATGTTGAATTTACTGCTGGAAGCCATTATTTTGGCAGCTTAATTGCTTTTATGTCCTAACCAGTTAAATATTTTCTGGCTAGGTTGGCAGTGTATTTGTTTTACTATTCATTTACGCTGAAATTTTTTTCAGTATTGTTCAAACTCATGGTACTTACTTCAGTTTCAAAATAAAACTGCTTATTTGGCATCAAAGGAGAATATATAAAATACCAATCTGGAAAGTAATTCTTGCCTTTTTTTTTTTTTTTTTAGGCTGTACAAGTAAAATTTTTAAATTTTCAAATGGATAATATTTATAAACTTGATCTTTTTTTTTTTTTTTATCTCTACTAGCGAAGTCAGAGATGAGTGAGAAGGACAAAGACAGGGATATGTATGGACTACAAAGTTCTCCACCCTGCATAGGAGCATTCCTGTATGTCCTTAATTGTTTTCTTTTGTTGCTGCTCCAGAAGGAGATTCTTGGCTGTCCATCTGTTTGCCGACTCTGCACAGGGAGGCAAGTTAACTGTCGTAACTTAGGCCTCGCAAGCATCCCACGGAACTTTCCAAAAAACACAATTCTTGTATACCTCAGTGGGAATAATATATCACATGTGATTCCAAATGAATTAACAGGCCTTCAGAAACTTGCTGCACTGTACATGGATAATTCCGGTATTTCATATGTACATCCGAAAGCTTTTGTGGAACTCCATAAGCTGTGCTACTTGCATCTAAATAACAATAATATTAAGCGCCTGGATCCAGGAATATTTGAAGGTCTTTCCAGTCTTCGCTGTTTATACCTACAGAATAATCAAATAGCTTTTGTTCCTAGAGGATTATTTAGTGGTCTTTTTTCAGTTAGAATTTTAATGCTTCAAAGGAATCGTCTCAGTGTCCTTGGAAGTGGGACTTTTTTGGGAATGATAGGTCTCCAAACACTTAATCTAGCCAATAATAAGATTTCACGGATATCAGATTCAGCGTTTTATCACCTCGAACACCTTGTGTGTTTGTATCTTGAAGGTAACAACTTAACCGTCGTGCCATCAAATGCCATTGGAATGCTCAAAAGTCTCCAACGACTCTCTTTGTCTCACAATCCCATTGGATCCATACGTCCTTTTGCCTTTAAAGGACTTAACAAGCTCAGATATCTGTCTTTAAAAAGTGCAAACCTAAAACATATTGCTATAAATGGATTTTTTGGATTAAACAACCTCAACCAGTTAATATTAAGTTATAATGATTTAGAAAATATAAATTCCAGCACTTTTACTGTGCTGCATAATTTAATGTATCTACAGCTAGACAGAAATAAAATAGCCAGTATTGGTGATGGTACCTTTGTAAATATGGGGCATTCGCTTAAAATACTAAGTTTAGCATTTAACAATATTACAGAGTTGCAACCTGAAGTGCTCAAGCCCTTAGTATCTTTAACTCACCTACAGTTAAATTATAACCCTTGGAACTGCAGCTGCAAAATGCTTGGATTACGTAAATGGCTGGCATCGTCTTCTGTTTCTGTAAAAATTCATTGTCAAAGTCCCCGCAGTATGCGTGGTAGACCTTTACATTATATTAAGTGGACTCCATTTGCCAACTGCAGTAGCCCTGCTGCCAGTGCAGAAAACGTCTGGAATCTAGGATTTGTAGATACTCATCACAGCACTACCACTTTGCTGATGGCATGGCATAAGGCAGACGGGCACAACACATCTGAACAGTTTTTCAGTGTGGATACTAGATATGTTAATTTCTGGGAAGGAGCTACAGCAACATCTGCTAACCCATTGCCTTACGAAAAATATACTGTTGAAAATCCATCACAGGCAACTACGGTGGTATCACTCTTGCCAATGCAAATACCAGCACAGATTATCCCTGTTAACACAACCATAGAAGAAGAAAGTTCATCTCCCTCAGATGCAGCATCTGTGTCATTAAAAACATCTCTACTTTGTGCACAGCAAGTTGAAAAGCTGAACCAGGCTTTTGACATTTTACTAGCCTTTTTCATTCTGGCTTGTGCTGTGATCCTGTTCCTAACATACAAAATTATTCAGTTTAGACAGAAACTGAAGGTATTAGAAAACTCAGGGGAAAAGAGGATAGAGTATTATGGTTTTTATCAGCCTGGCAGATACAACATAACTGACGCAATGCAGTCTTTAACTCAGAATTCAGTGGGACATTCAGAACTGGACCAAATTAGGCTGCTCAAGCGAACAGCATCTGAGAGTCAGGCACAGGTCATATTGTTTGAACATTCAGCGTTGTAATTTACCTCATTTGATTTGGTGTTGAGTTATGGCGTTCTGAAATGTCCAAAAATCAGGAACTCAATTTTCTAAAAATTCCTTCACTCGTTAAAATCAGCTGGTTGTAGTATTGTGGGAAACGGCATAATTTTTTTCCACATCATCATTCTTTTTCTAATAATTTTGAAATTTATCCACTTTGTTAGATGTCAGTTAAATCTGACATGGATAGATATATTAATCCTCTGTCCCTGTTGCAGGAATCTTTCATCTATAACTCAAGTATATCAAAAGATGTGCAGTAAAAAGTGTGCTTATATATTTATTTATCTTTATTTTGTAGTCCGTATTGGTATTAAGTATCTGTAGAAATTGCATAGCCAACCTGAAGATGAGCACGCAAAATAGATCATCCTGTCAGGATCGTGAAGCTAGAAAGTTGAGGTGAATGAGCACAGAAGATTGCTTCACGTATTTATTGTAATGAGCATTTTCTGTTCTGCCTCCTCTGGTCATCACCGTGGGGAGGGGGGAAAACATTCTTACAGTTAACGTATTCAGTCTTTTGAGAAAGCAAAAAATTTTAAAATGATATAAATTTGTTCATGCCTATGACCTTTTAATATACAAATTTGTGTATTTAATCTGTATAATGAATATATTAAAATATGTGACTTTTTGTGTGTGCATCTATCATTTCATGATCATAACTGCAACTGGAGTTAATATGGAAACCAACATCCCCTTTGACTGAAAAATTGACAAAGTTTATAATGTGTCTAAGATAATAGAGCTGGTTAGTTATATACTAGAAAAGATATCTTGACATCTATATAGCAGTAGTTCAGAGGTGGCTTTTTGTGAAATAAACAGTATAAACTGAAGAAATATACTTAAATATGCAACTTCTAGATTAAATGCTGAAGGTATTTAAATATTTGTGATATGTATTTGCAAGTGTCAGGTTAAAGTACATTTTCTCAGTATAGGCTAACTAAGCTTAGGAGCCTTATTTAAATAAGGGATATTATTTTAAAATGGACTTTACATTTGTTTCAACTTTTTTCTGTTTACGTTATTGGTAGGTTATGTCTGTTGTGCTGTAGGTTTATTTTGAACCTGAATTTCTATGATTCTTTTTTTCCAGTAATTCAAACTTTATCCAGAATACGTTCCAGAAAATCCAATTAATGTAAAGTTTTCAACTAGTTGAATGGGACTTGGTTGTGTAGATTCCGTGTATTCCATAGAAACGTGACCTACGCATTGCAATCACTTGAATTTTAAGCAACTCAGTTTACAGTTAAATCAGTGTTAAGTCTACCGTTTAGCACGAAATGTAGATATAAATATTAGAATATTAGTCTGTCCTTCCATGAAGTTAATTGAAGTTGCCTAAATAAGTATCTTGCTGTTCCTAGATTCAATCTTGAGACCAAGGGCAGTCTGCAGATGCATAGACCTACCATAGCATTTCTTGTTTCCGCCTGCTTTCCTTCTACTAGCATAACTAATATGCATGGCAAAATGTCCTAATATTGTGCTGCTCCCTGTCATTCAATTTCTTGCTTCTCTAATCCATTTCTGAGAATAATAGATCTTCTTATCTACCAGTATGAATACAGACCTGGGCTGTACTGTATGTGTGTGAATATGGAAGCGTAGGTTGTGTGCATCTGTTGTTCCTTGTTATTTATTATCTCTTTGTATTGAATGTACTGAAAGTTCAATTTACTGTTTCATAGTACTGAATTTTAGTGTAATTTACTATATAAGACATCAACTACTTATAGTTTATGGAACACTGAATTCAGCTAAACTTGAACAAAAGTTTAAACCATTTGAATTGCATGAGTAGGAACTATTTATATATTTTATAATATTCTTCTAGTTGTAGATCAGATATTAAATGTAATGTACAGATTTTTTTAAGGAGGGAAAACATTGATGATACTTTAATTCATGCTTAATTCTGGAGGTGGCTATCGGTTAAATTTTTTTTTCTCTTTATCCCATTTTCCTTGTTACTTTCTGGCTCTCTTAAATAATTCCTTGTGATAATTTTTTTTTTTTTTTAATTAGAGCTGCGAGTTCTGTGGTTCTGCGGTAGTAGTTCTGCAGTTTGAAGTACTGTATTTATGAATTGTCAATTTTATATAAGTATACCTTCAAAAATAGTGGACTGTATTAGCATCTAGGTGAAAGAAATTCCAATGAGAACTACTTAATTAAACTTCATTGATAGAAATGCAGATGTCCTCATAAAAAGAGAATTTTTCTAGAGTGGACAGATGTTGAGATTGACCAAGCCCACTTTTCCAAGAAATGTGCCACGTTACAGGTCTTCTATTTAAACTGTGTTCCACAACTGCTTTCCTATGAAGAATGCAGTTCCCTCTGAAGGTGTGCTCTTTCCAATAGCAAGCTTCTGTAGAAATTGTTTTTCAAGAATGAGTTTCACTGTCCGTAGTGCTGGAGTGCATAAGGAAATTGATAGTGCTGTCCCTGCAAGCAAAGGGATAGAGCTGTTGAAGGTCATCTTTTGGAGAGGTAGGAGTCATCCTCTAATAGCCATCTTGTTAACAACTGTGTGGAAAAGACTGTGACAAGGAATTGAAAGATTCATTGTGCAGATGTTAGGAGATGCCTTCGTTTTGCAATTAATAGTTTTTATATTAAAATTTTCACACTGGGAGACTGAGGTCCTTCCCTGTTTAAAAAAAAAAGGTATATGAATGTTGGCAAGTGTGGTTCATACGCATCCTAATTATTAAAATCATTAGAGATTATATTAGAAGGTTTAGCAGATATTAGAAGGTTTAGCAGAGTCAGCCCTAAGGATGTAAAATTGAACTTAAGTTTTCCTCTAGTCACCAGTTCCCTATTGGATTCCCATTCATAACGTTTATCATTGAGTTTATGGTCAGCCATAGGACTCTCCTGGGGTTGTCTTAGCTGTGTTATTACTGTATTGGGAGCTCCTTAGCACTGTGCAATTTCTAGGGGCAAAAAAAAAAAAAAGACATTACTCGTAAAGTGTGTCAAGTAATCTCCCTTTGTCCCCTATCCACCTGTCCTCTGGCTAATGAAATAAGAATAAAGAATTAATCTTTCTGAAATCTACTGTATACCAGTAAAGGTGGTGAAGCATCTCCATTTCTTGGTTTTTACTGCTTCATTCTGGCCAGTGTAGAAAAGCAGATAAAATTTTCTCCTTCTCCTTTTGATCTCTAGAGGAGAAAAGGATGCTTTCCTATCTAGCATTTTTCTTCCCCTTCTGACAGACTGAGGAATATACATAGCAGAAGTGGGGACCATTTTATTTGAGAACAACTAACAAATTATCATGTATGTTTTATTAAAGTGATGACAGAACTTTATTTATAGTGAATCGCTGCATAATTTAAATCCAAATTCTGAATTTTTGCATAAAACCTCAGAATAACAAAAATGTTGACAGGAATAGCTGAGTGTATTGGAAATGACAGATAGAATGGAAAAAACAATGTAACATTTTCTTCAGAACTGGTGTAGTCTTTTTTGCTTTGCAAAGCTTTTACTCTTATCTAACAAATACGCAAATATTGAATTAAAATGTGTGAAACTATTTGTGTATATATTATCCTAAGTATGTTTGCTACACTTTGTTTTCATTAGAGGCAAGGCAAATTTTACTTACAGGTGGCATAAAAGATCCTTTTACTAACTAAAATAATGTTGATATTTGTTAATTACAGCATTGGAACTTGATCCTAGACTGTTCTAGATCCTAACTAACAGGATTATAGAGGTTATAAACCTCTAATTCTGGGCCTGTCTCTTGCTGATTCTTGCTGCATGCCCAAATGATGTTTTGTCCTGATAAATCGGGGAAACTGGGTAGTTATAAGAACAGTTACAACTGTTACAAGCTGTTGTTTGTTCTGGTGCTAATCTGGACTATATGGAATTTGAGAAAGGAGCTGCTTAAATGCTGCCTCCTTTCTGAGCTAAAATTTTAGTAGTGACAGTATTAATTGCTTAGTTTTGAAGCCAACCAAAGTTCATCTAAATACTAATTCTAGTCTTTTTTGAATCTACCCATATGATTTTTCAATGTATTTCTTGAAACAAGCAGGCTAATTTTAGACTTCTAAAAATTTGTTACATTGATTTGCATGGCTCTTCCTTTCTGTTCCATGAAAATAAGACCTAATACACTTTATATAGGTATTGAATTTTAATTAGATTTGTTTTTTTTCAGAGCACATGAGTATGTGGTGTCTTTTTTTCTCAGCATGTCTTACATTCTAAAAATAAATGTATTGCTTAACGATTCCGTACTTGGTAAACTTTTCAGTGAGCCTTTAGTAAGAAGAAACTTCATTTCCTATTGCAAGGGAAAAAGGAGAAAGTATTAGCTTTACTGAAAGCTACAGGTGATAGTTACCTAGTTTTGAAAGGTCCTACATGCTGTAGGATTTGCTAATCTCAAAAAAAAAAAAAAAAAAAAAAAGCCATTAAAAAGTTCCTGTATTCACAGAAGAAAAAAGTAAAATGTTATTCCTCATCTTTGCCGGAAAAGTAAAAGTAACTTCTCCAGAAAAAGAAAATAACTAATAGGCTGCATTCTCTGGCCATTTTTTGTAACTATCACAGTATTTTGGGTTGTCGACGTTCTCAGTTTCTTCTGGAAAGGTCAAAGATTCTTGGAAGTACAGCATGCTCAAACAGGCCTTCCTGTATGTGTCTGTTATCAATTTGTAAACATGGGGGGAAAAAAAAAAAACCAAAGACTTAGTGAGCGGTATGCCTATAGTATGTTCGCGTTTTGGCTGCATAAGGTAACTCCCCCCCGAATAGATTGACTGTAATTAACTCTGTAAGGCACTGAATGGCTATGCTTTCACTGGGTCAGACTTCTTTCTCTCTTCTCCTCCCCTCCTCCCCCAGAAATATCAAATATCAGATTCCAGTGGTGATTAGGGATTTGGGTGGATTGGAAGCAAAAAATGTAGCTACCAAGTAGGTGATAGTGGCCTGTAGTATTAATTAAATGGTACATATTTTCAAAGCATAGCTTACTTCCAGTGTGCAGTGTTCCCGGGTGTTCTTAGCTGAATTCCCTGTGTCACCTATTGAAATGAACTTTAGAACAGCTGTTTCCTTTCTCATGTTGGCAAAGTATTAACCATGTTAATAGCATTTTCCTAGAAATGTGCTTCAAAAAAAGTATGAGGCAAAAGAACTTAAGTGGAAGGTATGCTATGTAGAAATCTCTGGCTCAAGTGAAGAAATCTCCTTCATCTCTGAGGGCTCATTCGACGCTACTTATTTTCTCAGTAGTGCTGTGTGATTTCTAGATTGTTTGCTTCCTGTCTTTAGAATCCCATAGAGATACAGCCTCGTAAGATTTAATACGTTGTTTTTTTGAATGAGACAGTGAAGCTGTTCCATAAGGAGGAAAAACACTTTTAAAATGTAAATAGATACTTGAAAGGAACAATAAGGCAAATGAAATAAAAATGTATCCATTTGATAGCTGGTATGGAATTATGGAGTTCCAAGTTTCATTATACAAAATACAAGTTCATTTCCTAGCATTTTTCTGTATCTGAATTAAAAAATGGAACAAAAACAATCATTTGAAAACAAAATAATAATTTGAGTTGAATCACAATCTTATCAAAGCAAATCTGAAAAATATTTTATAGCTTTAGAATTTTAACTTTATTTTTTCTGAAGTATCTAGTGCTGTATAACGTCTGTTTTTCTGATATGCATAAGATTTTATTGTCTATCTGAAAAGATATCTTCATATACCATAAGTATCTAATGTAAAAGTTGCTACATTTTATTCAGTATTTCATTTTTTTGATCCTAAATATGAAAAAGAATTGAAAGCGTTTTAAGAAAAATATTTGACTACTTTAAGTACTTTAAAGGACTTATATTATCAAAATGCAATATGCACACTTAGCGTTCAGTGTCTTTAAACAAAAATCATATGGGACCAGTCCGCTTCAGCCTAACAGGCAGCAGCCTGTTTGGGGGAAAATTTAGCCTACCCATTCCAAACAGGGACTAAGTGAGGTGCTTCAGTCAGTAGCAGTGACCTAGGAAAAGAGTTGTAGTTTACCACTACCTGTTAAACCTTTTCTTTGATGCCTATAGCTGAAAATTCTGTAGTCTTCCCTGAGGCGAGCATCTTTTCCCTTACAATATTCCTTAACCCTTTTGTAGTTCACAGACTAGGAGTCCATCCACCTAAGTCCCACAATAGCATCTCTGTGGCATTAAGCAAACAATGGCGGGGAATTTTGCACAAATCACAGGTAATTAACAGATAGCAGTTGTGATTAAAGTTGATGGTGCCTACTTTTTTTGTAGTGGAGATCATGGTGCTATGCCCTTATGAAAATTTATATGCTTGTAGGGTAAGGGCAGGTTCATGTAACTAAAGTGTCATGTAATTTACATATTATGAAGGTATGCAGTCTGGCCTTGAGCTCATGCTGGAGAAAGATGCTTATCTCTCAACCAGTGCGATACCTTCCAACCCTTTGCAGTTGTCTTAAATACCATAGTGTTTCAAATGACAGAAGATTCCTATACTTAAGCAGATGAATCCTCCTTTTACCTTCCTTTCTAGTTAAGTAAATTGATTTGCGTGTTGAACTGGGTAAAACGTTTTTCACCCTCCATGGAGAGTCATTAAGTTGGGAAGAAGGGGGAAGAAATACTCATAAGACTGGACAAAGAAAACAAGAGAGGAACGTACCTCTCCTACAATCTGCTCTTTCCTCAAGGGTTTGCTTGTAAATTTTGCATTGAATAGTGATTGGAGAAAATGTTGAGGAGCGTTAGGAACAGAAGTCCATATCCTGACCTCCCTACTAGCAGGAGCATGCCTTCCACAATCAATTCTAGAGTTCTGTGCTTTTATTTTTTTTCATCTGTTATTCCATTTGCAATTACATCCAGGTTTTCAATACACTATAAAGTTACTTCTGGAAGACGCTGGCAGATGAGTGGGTTTTTTTAAGAAATAATTAAAGACATTTCTTACATATTTTTGATAACTTTAGGCCATTGCTCTAGTATACATAAAAATTTTAAATAACTATTTGATACATGCTCAGCTGAGCAGTAAATAATGAAGACACTGTTTGGTAATTGTGCCCTACAATGATTGAGCAAACTTCCTGTTTAGCTTATTTAGCTAAGTCACCTTCCTATTCTTTTTCCAGTGTTATCCAAGATAAATTTTGTGGTATCATCAGCATTTCAGTGGAAGGGCTACATGACGTTATGACTGAAGATCCTGAAACAGGAACATACAAAGAGTAAGTGGAAAATATAATTAATTTGTATACGTTTAACAGTAGTCATAAGATGGAAACACTATATATATATAAAATTGACTGAAGAAGTATTGTAGGCAGCCGAGACGTACACTCATAAGAGTTCTCTTTTCGCAATAGTGGGTGCTTTAGGAAGATGGGAAATTTTTGATCCTAAGAAAAATGATTGTAATTTTGTAGGGGGAGAGAACGGCTTAAGATGAGAATAAATTTTTTTGTATTGTTCATAAAATTGCCTACTAAATGATGTCTCAAAAGATTCCCGTGCTTGCCTATGGTGTTTGTTGACATGATGTTTTATATCTAAATTACGATCCAACAAATGTATGTCTTTATAGGTGTCAGTTTAGAGTTTCTTTGAATGTGACATCTGAGGTTTCACCAAAATCTCTTCACTCACTGAGTATACCCAATGTACCCAGCATTTCATGGTGCGGAGATGATTGGATTCTGTTCCACAAGATCCTTTCTTCCCCTTCAGTTTTTCCATTTAACAGACCTCCTTCTGAAATTAATTTTTAGATTGAAATAAGCTGATCTGCAACAGGGCATAACTGAACAGGCAGTTTCCTGAGGTGGGAGCAGGAGTTATTTTATAGCAGGCGGGGCTGGTGGGCAGGAGTGCCGAGAACACACAGCCACCAGAACCACGCTAATTCATCTCCCGCTGCTTCCCAGGTTCTTGGTGGTATTGGATCAAAGTTGAAGTCAAGAAGCATTGAATAATAAGGAGTTTCAAAGACAAAGATCTAAATTTTGCATTTTCTCTGCAGTAATTACATAGGTTTAGAACAATAGTAAGGTTAAAAAAAAAAAAAGGGGGGGTGCTCTCTAGGGTATGTCTATGGGCAAAATATATTCTGATGACAGTATAAGTTTGTGCTTGAAATCAGACATTTTCTAACTTGCAGATAGTTACTTGGTGATGGAATAGACTGTATCTATACTAATTAATTGAATGGGAATGTTTTCTGGCACTGAAGCCAGCTGGCGCAGAACAGCCAGTGTGCATGCTATTAAGCTCTCCTCCCCATAGAACAGGCAGGCTGCACACACAAACCTGCTGCTCATGCAAAACCTGAACTGTGCCCAAGACTTGCTTGTGAAAGCGCAGGTTGACCCATGCCAAGGATTTTTCTAGTTATTTATCAGTATAGGTGATTGATTCCCAGGGTCTGGGAACATGCCCTGGCACTGTTTTTTATTACAGACAACACCATAGAGTCCATTCTATTTCCAAATGTATTGCATTGCCAGCGCTTACTGAAAAGAATCTTCAGAGCAAATAAATAAAACTTTGTCCCAGTTCATTTCATATTTTAAGGTTGAAGTCCTGCAGAACTGGTCATTGTACTTTTCCAAATTCTGGGCATTGTTTTTTGCTCTATAAAATATAGGAATGCTGAACCAAGGACACATTTCTGATGACAGATACTGAACATGCTGTTGAAAGATTCTGACATTCATGTTATACATTTCACCATTATCTGAAAGTAATGTATGCTATTCTGGCTGTCCAGGTTCAAGAAGAATGAATTTAAACTTGAAAACTCATTCAGAAAAAAAAGAAATAGATTATGCACTCCTCTGATTGTCATAATATCTAACTACCTTAGCAGGGAGACTAAAAGTAAGTGCATGTTTAGTGCAGGAGAACCAAGACTGAAGCAGTATATAACTGCAGTTTGTAAACGAGCAAGAGGGGATGGATCCTCATGCAGGAAGAAAATGAACTATACAAATTCAATGACAGTGTTGGCCTGAGAATACTTGTGTAAGCTGCCTATGAATACATTTAAGCCGGAAATTTGAAGAAACTGTTCTAGTTAGGGCAATGAGATAGTGGAACCACCTTTCCAAATAGAAATGCATAGATAAAAATGCAGAGATAAAGGTCTCTGAGTTATCTCTGGATAACTTTCACCAATATCTTTATGAAAAGTTCAGTCAACCTTTCTTCTTATTTTGAGTTATTCAAGAGGCAGAAGAAACTCTGGCATCTAAACCAATATTTTTCATAATTTATATTTTTATACTTACTGCAAAACCAATAGTTAAAATATGGATATTACTGTGCATATTATTACTTATCAACTGGCAATAGAGCAGAAAAGTAACAGAAGTGTAAAAGCTTTGTTTTATCTGCTTAAAAAGGCACTTTAAATAAATGACTGTAGAAGCTAATTCATTTCTTTCCGCCTAAACCTCTATTATTCAATGGCTTTCAGATTTTTAGTATCTAGAATAAATAGTAGTGATCATACATGGTTTTCAAAACCCCTTGTTAGATAATTCTTCTCAGAGCAATATGAATGTAATGAGAAATCGTTTTTCTAGTGCCAGGTTTTTCTAGTTTCTTTGCCAGTTTTTCTAATATGCAGTTTTGGATATGTGCCATTTTTATTCATGTTGATAAGATGCAAAGTGCTTGTATTGCACTTGCTTGGAAAGATTGAGAAATTCTAGTTAGGAAGAGCAGATTTTTCTAATTTAAGTTTTTTAAACCCACATATTGCTACATGTAGAAAACAGACTATATTTTTAAGTCAGAATTTGAGCTGAAATATATCTATTTACAGCATGTCTTTTCCTGATAATTACTGTTACTGAAAGATATCTCTGAATTGCTCTGTACAGCCTAAAATGGTGCCTCTTTTTTTGATTCTCATTCTATTAATGGAAAGTAGTCAATTGAAACAGTTAGAAAATACATTAAAGTGTAAAAAATAGATTAGTAATATCCATTAGAATAGGAATAGAATAGAATATCCATAAAATATTCCATAGAATATCCATAGAATAGTAATATCCATTGCATTTTGATTCATTTACTTGATTAAAATCATTATTTTAAAACAAATTTCTTCATTTATTTTATTGAGGAATGCCCATTTCCTATTTTTGAAATGCGTATTGAATTTTTATCTAATTTTAAAACTTTGATATAAATAGTGGATGTATTTCTGAAGATAAAATGATGTAAATGATATTTAACACAATATGCCTACTTTGCCAGAGTGCCAACTCTTCCTCAACTGCTTGAATAAGAAAGCAAAATTCTATCTGTAAACGTTTTCAGGTTTACAGCACTAATAGATATGCATGAAAAAGAAAAACTCTGCAGTATTAAGGAAGTCAAAATTAAATTTAATTGGGAGAGTAGACTCTCCAAAATGTCGCCACTGAGAGTTTTGCCAAGGCATCTCTCTTTTCTTTCAAGTATGGGCTCTCTGTTTAAAAACATGACTTGAATTGATTTTACAACTTTAACTTGCAAAAAAGGAATGTCACTTGGAATCATTAAACATATGTATCCTCTTCCTGTGATCAGTTTGGCAGTATCAGATACAGGAAGAGATTGTTTGTGTGTGTTTTTTAACCTCTCTTTGGAAAAGTAAAAACTACTATTTTTCCGTGACAGTGAAGATATCCTCTCAGGAAATCAGAATCTGTTTAAATGCTAAGCTATAAAATACATCCAGGAGTAAAGTAGATTATTTAAAAAAAAAAAAAAAAAGTTTGAAACATAACGTGCACTGGTTTGAAATGTGGGCTATTATCAAGACATAGACTTCTGAAAAGGACAGAAAAGCATTGGGAAATAGAAATGCAGAAGTTCATCTTCTAAGGACCCCTTTACTTAGGAGGGTGTTGTTTTGCAGATACTGTAAGAGATGATGTTTGGAAAACACTCACAGTGTCTAAGTACTTTCTGGCTCTTTATATCAATAGAAGTTATCTGAATGTCATGGCAGACTAGTTGTGGTTTTTTTTGTTTTGTTTTTTTTACATCAGTACCAGACACGCAGGATAACAGTTCTATAAATCTAGTCGTGGATAGCTACTGAGAACAGTGCCATTTCTGGAAGTTAATATCTAATTTCTTCCTTCCAATATTAAGAACTACCTTGCAGCAGCAATATTCATTTTAAAAGGAGGTCAGATTTTTAAACTGTACAAAATGTAATGCTATGTTCTCATTTTCCATATAAATTCATAATGCCTTAAAAATCATGTTATCATATTTGTCTTAATGATGCCTGATACCACTACACTGCACAATTTAAATATATTCAATATAAAAAGAGTATTTTGTTTTGCCAAATGTAAATAAACTGCTTTTTCGGTATTATTGTATTGTTGCTGTGTAGTCTGCTTCTCAGAGATGCTTTATTCTGAATTAAAGCCAGAATATATTAATATAGAGTATTAAAGTATAAAAGTAAGGTTATTGGCAGCTATAGACACAGCTTTTTATAAGTAACCCTGGAGCAATTTTTTCTTCTGCTGCTTTAACTAAAATGTCAGCCTGCAGTAATCACTAAAGAGAATATTGTTTGCCCTTGTCAGTATACCAAGATAGTTGTTTTCCCCCGTCTAGTGTAGTTCCTATTCTCAATTAAAAGAAGAAAATCTTCAGTTACGCTTGTAACGTCTCTTAAGTCTTTCTGGCAGCCTGGGTTGTGCTCTGGTGTTTAGCAAGCTTATCTTAAATTTAAAAAATGCGGGAACAGTTGAGGTTTTATAATTGCTATTGAAACAGTTTATTCTTTAACATAGCTTAGCATAATTAAACATGACTGCAGGGTGCACCTCTGATAGGTATAGCTTAGTGGCTTCTTGTTTATTTAATTAGACAGTCATACCTGGAACATTCTGCTACAGAAATCAATTTTCAGGTTCTTGTTATAATATCTGTTAAAAATGTGGAATTTTACATGTTGTATATGTTCCTTTTTCTTCATTTACGTTTGCTTGCCTGAAATTGTGCTAGGTATCACTCTGTAAACAGAAGCTTCTTAGTTCACTATTTCATTTTTATAAGAATCAAATCCCTTTTTACCACGGTAGAGCAGCTCGGTGGAGATGTTTATAAAATTCACAGAACAATCTTGATGGATGAAACACTGGAGTCCTATGTCCTTGTTACTGAGGTGAACTTTCAAACAGTATTACTGAAGTAATAAATATGTTAAACCATCACAAACCATCTCTCATAAAAAGAGAGAAGGTCACTGATGAGCAGGATTTTAATCATAAGCTTGCTTTCCAACCTTATAAACAATGACTCTTATCTAGAAGTTGCACATCTTAGGCATCTAAATTCATATTACTTCTAAAACTTTTCTGTGTTAACAGTCTATGTAAAAACGTTGATAAGTTGCTATGTAGTTGCTGCAAACTGAACCTACCTGTTCAGTTAGTGAGTTTAACTGGAAATGCTTTATTCTTTTCCTATATATAAATCAATTTTCAAGCAGACACATCAATCTTTTGAATAGAAAACTAATACAATTAAAAATTATAAAAAGCCCCAATGTGTCTCAACAGAAGAAATTGTAGAAATCTATTGGCAATAAATTAGATGTCATGAAAAGTTCTAAATATAAGTTCATGTGTTTTGTTTTATGAAACTGTAATTATAATTGTAATAAAAATAGCCTATTGCTAAAAGCAGTGCTGGTTTATAAATGAAATATGTAGTATACGCACACGCTACTTCCTGAGGAGCCAAGGCACGAATTATCACACTGTCCTTCTGTCAGTGTTGTCACTCCCAAACTTCAATAGTTTATACATTTCTAAATTTCCACTGAAGGAAAAACAGGCAAAACATGGCAGAAACCATCTGGCTAATCACTAACATGTGGTAGCTCACCAGACAGCACACCTGTGGTGTTCTTTGGCATACTTCATGGTGTTTGGGAGTGTTGTAAAAGATGTGGAGGACTACTGAGGTTACTACATGGGTGTAGGTCACACAGGACGTGTGTCCGGGTTCAATGTTCTCAGAAAAACTGTACTTGGTAACAGAGGTTGCCTGTCTTGCATCAAACTCCCTCATATCTGTTCTGTGTTTTTAAAAGTGCTTTAAAAATAGTTTTTAATGATAGTGTGTGTTTAACCTATTTTTATTCCCATTCTTAGCTGCATGCTGATGTCTCATTTTGAAGAGCCCAAAGTTACAGAAGATGAGGAACCTCCCACAGAACAAGATAAAAGGAAGAAGATGGTAAGTTTTAGATCTGTTGTTCAATTTTAGAACTGGTTATATAATTCACTTTGGCTTTGGTTCATCTATTCTTGGAAAATTCACCTCTTAAATCCAAAAAAAAAAAAAAAAAAA